TTTATCAACCACTTTGGTTATGAATGGCGTGTTTGTTTGGTTTGCGCTGGACAACATAGATTTCCTTGAATCAACGCCTGTAGGTATGAATACACTCCATGACACTGTCATTGCTGTATATCAGACTGCATCTGACAATAACATCACTTTACTTTGATCGGTCATCAAGGTCTCAAACACTGGAGACTGCTAGTCCATGCGAAATTTTATCATGTGACAAACCAGTACCAACAAACAAAAAATGTGTTTGCACATTGAATTCCTGTAAGACCAGCACAGGGCCAAATAAGGAGAAGGATATGGCATGGATTATTGGCTGTTTGGACTTCAATGAAAGTGAAGTAGAAGTAAAATCGATCTCATCTTCTCCTGGAACATGGGGCGCATTCAACTCTCTGTTGTCTCCATCTGGCTCTAAGACAAACATTGCCTTAGTACCACCTTTAATACGCTTGCCACCAACAGATTATGACACTCAGTTCACAGGTCTGATGAGAGCACGTACTATCGCTACTCATGCCATGGGACCAGACGTTATTGCCGTTGTGATCCTTGATCTCCAGCTTTACGACATGGCCATGAAGTTGTTGATGGAGCGTGAGGACAAGAAACAATTTTTATTTCGCCCTGGTGAGCTGCACATCGTGTTCTGGGCACTGGCTGCATTGGGTAAATATGTGGAAGGGAGTGGTATTGACCAAGTATGGGTTGAAGCTGGACTTTACTCGCCTACAAAAGTAACAAAAATACTCAACGGGAAACATATGTATCGAGCACTGGAAGCTCATACAATCACCTTGCTCGCTTTATTCAGTTTGTACTTCCCAAAATTTATGCAACTTCATCCGGATGAAGATTTCTTGAAGGAAACGTCCACTCTTTTGGGAGATGCATATCAGCAAGACATCAATATAGACGCAGGTCACAAACACAATATCTGTGATGCTGTTACAAAAACAATCGACATGTTCGAATCCAGGGGCATCTTTCAAAAGATAAAAAGGTCTGAAGACATTGCAAACAAAATTCAGCGTTTCATCGGAAACTACATGAAGCAGTTCTAGACCATCCTCAAATTTGTACGAGCCACCAGACAATGCGACCTATTGCTGCACATGCAGAGTCTGTAATCACTCATGAAGCACTTCTTTGCCCATGATCATTCAAACTATGCGCGCCTTCTACCACTGTATATTTCCACAATGGAGCAGACAGAAAAGCAGCGTCCTGAGATTTGTGCAGAGTTTATGAAGGGGAACTTCTGCGTCACCAAAGGTGTTGCTGGATTCACATCAATAGGCCAAGACCATGGGGTTGAACAAGAGAATCGCGAACTCAAGGTTATTGGAGGCATGGTTGGAATCACGCAGAATGAAAAATCACTAGACAAATACTTCCTCATTCCACCTGAACTCTCGAATGTACAACATGAATTTGATAAACAGTACTGCACTGGCAACAAGGCGAAGAGATCACATCACCATGAGCTCACGGGAGGGAAGCTCTCCAGAGTAACACAGAATGCAGTCAAACTCAGTGCAGTATTTCACGAGCATGGAAACCCATTTGAATCCACTGATGAAGATGACATGTACAACCTGCTCACCTAAGCAGTTATGACTGAAACTGCTATCAACGGTCATCCAGCGTCATCAGATTGGACAACAGATGTTTGAAGGTTTTGTCAATGAACGCCTTACAGAAGGAAAACTCTCTGTGTGGGACAAAATGTCAAAAAAGAAACAGAAAACTTTCCAAAGTGCTAATGCAGTTGTGGAAATTAGAATTGGAGACAAGGTGGTCAAAATCAAAGAAGAGCGAGGACTGTTGTTACGGTTCATTGTTATATCCAGAGCTGGACCTCAAGGAGTGTATCGGAACTTATGGGTTTGGTGTGGTGCCTCGATCCCTGTTTGCTTCGGATAGATCCCTCATACTGGCATATGATAAGGCTACAGTACTTCATCATCTTGAGAAGCTGGATACAACACAACAGGTCCAAACTGACAGGAACGGGACAACTGGAAGTGATCCATCTGATAACCAAGTAATGGAAATATCCTTACAGTTGGCAGACACAGCAGTAGAACATGAACATGTAGACACAACCGATAAGTCATTATCATATCGAGTGATTTTCATTGATGGAATGGCTGTGGTAAATTCAGTTACCAAAACGGAACAAATGAAAACATGCCAAGACTTAGCAAATACCTTTCTCCAGATAATCTGTAACATGGCATCACAGTATGATGAGGTCAGATTAGTGTTTGACCGGTACATAAAAACATCACTCAAGGAACAGATGAGGACAAAGAGGACAAAGGGACAGTCATCATATTGCCATGTGAAAGACATCACTTTCATCCAGAATTTTTCACTGAAGGACTTTCTCTCAGATATCCGGACCAAAGGAGAAAAGACAGAGTTTTTGGCTTACAAGGTTGTACGTCACAGCAAGAGCTCCAACAACAGATTAAACATCAGGATATCCAGGCAGGAATAAACGAGGACAGTGAAAATTAAGATGTTATTTTATATGACGTTCATGGATATTAATTCACTTTATTTAACTTACTGCTTTGTTAAAAACTACAACTTGATAGACATGGACTTAATCAGAATGACTTGATGAATCTTTGAGTTTACATTGAACATTATTAAGAGTATTCCATTGTATCTGGATATATTTTTGGCTTGCTAATTATGTCTCATTTTTTTTATCAATACACGTCTTAAAATGATACTTTGTTTGAAATTACTAATTGTTATTGGCCCAATAATGTTTGCAAATGTATATGTAGCCTACAATTCTGGGTGCGCGGTGGCCATTTTGGATGAAATTTAGAAATTTGGCACGTTGATCTTGCATATAACTTATCTTATGATTCCGTTAGCTTCCTTGTCTCAAAAACATATATTTGGGTATTTAATGTGTAATTGTAACATATATACTTGCGAAGATATCGCATTTTTGGTGTGCGCCACGGATTTTGGACGCCTTCTTGGATTTCATACCCATAGAATGTTCAGAAAAAAAATCCCGCCCTAATATTTTTTAAGCTTATGATACCTTCTTTCAAAATCATGTGAGTTTTTGCTTTAAAAAAAATACAAGAAATTACAAATGAGCCTACACTAGTATGTAATGATTCAGTTTACGATATCGATAGTCTTAGATCCTACTGATGATAGATGTACATACAAATGTCCTATAACACAGAAAAAAATTATCAAAAACAATATTTCACTCCTTGAAATGATGACAGAGGTAATTCATAGAATGACGAGAGATCTTCCAAGCGTCCAACATCGTATGATCTTTGCCAGTTCTTGATCGAGTTCAAAATCAAATACACATAGCTAGGGATCAAGGGCAACCTAATCGGGGAAAACGATCCAAGGTAATAATAAGCATTTTTTTCTGATCAGTCCAAATATTGCACGACTAGGGATCAGAAGGCACAAAAATAATGAAATTTGAGGCTTAGAAATTTGACAGGAAATATTGATTACAAGATTAATTTATGTCAAAATTCAGGATGGGCGCCTGTTGGCCATTCGTTCTCCAATCAGTCCTGAAACGAACAGAATATCAAATTAAGGAACAATGGTAACGCATATATTGAGATTGATTCATCCCTTTCAAGTAACAGCGGCAACAAGCTGAAATTGCTAAAGTCTAAGACGGCCAACCAATTCAATTTTCTGGTCAGTCCCAAAAATAAACCTAGTTATGATACTGGATAATGATCCGCTCAAAACTTCTCAAGAAATAGAGATAATAAGCTATAACTGTAGAAATTCTAAATGGACGCCTGTCGGCCATTTTGTTTTTCCGGTTCTAAATTACCTATTGCAAACAAAGGGGAACGTATAAATGAAAAATGTGATTGATCTACTCGAAGCTTTTCAAGAAATATTAACAATATATAACTTCCAAAATCCAATATGGCCGCATGTCAGTCATATGATATTCCGATCAGTCCAAAAATATAAAATACACACCAAATGTCAAAGGGGAACAGGCGTATGAAATTTGGTTTCGGAACCGTCGATTACTTATCAAGGAAGAGTGTAGCAAGAATTGTTTAAGAGGGAACGAACGGGGGACTGACCTCAACCGATAATGCACGGCGATCTGAACAGCCCATCATCTGATGGTACTGTAGTAATATATATAACCTAGGGGTTCTAATCGATAAACTGAATGGTGTCCTATCTATCCGGCAACACTTAATGGAAGTTCTGACTCTTGAAACTTGGCAGTTTTTTCAGCCAATCAAATTTGACTTACCTGACGTACATGTCAGTCAGACTCCTAAAAAGGAAATTATTTGAATGATACAGATTTTCATTAAGTTAACACTGGCCCTTTAAATATAAACTTAGAATGAGACAAACATAACCAGATATTCCTCCTAGGACTCGTCAGTGATGACAGTATATCACGATGGCTGACCATTTATACACAATTTGTTATATTTTCCCCCAAGGATGCTTCTGACTTAATTTGATAAAAATCCACCGTGTCATCTATGACAAGCGGTAACTTTAGTAAAAAAAAAAATGACGGATGCCGCGGTATGACATAAGATCATCGGTCCTTCGGATCATGTAAGCCAATAAATCAACGCTGTCCTGTCGCCAGTTATCGTAATATTCCTCCCTGACATCCCCCGCCCCCTTCCCCGCTTTATTAACTTCCTCTCCAATGTTTATTTTGTGACAGTTAAAAGTGTAAACTGGCCCGCATGAATTAAGAAAGTGTCGTGACAGTTTACTCTTTCTCAAAATGTGTGCACTGTCTCCTATAAATGTCCAAAGTATCACACAGAACACCTTTTACTAATGGTCTTCGTAGAATGGGACACAGGTTGTGCTGTGTTCTTTAGGCTATTCTCTAATCGACGAGCGTTAACCTATTCAGTTATCAAATCCGGAATATTCGGAAGAAAATTTCTTTAATAGCGCCCGAGAACATCGAAAAAGACTTAACAATGGCGGCGGAGGGAAATTCTGACGTTCAAAACATTGTGTATTTTGTGGAATCGTCTGACAACCCCTTTGACAATGTCGGAAAGGAAATTACAGAAGAAAATTGGATGGCATGGAGCGAGGCAAGTTATTTGCATATATATAACATATAGTGAAAAATACTGTATTTCATTAGAACACACAATTATTGGGTATTTGGATCACCTGCATATCTGGCTATAAAGGCAGGTTTGTCTAGATAGTCAGATTTGAGTAACCGTATAAGGGATACTGTAAACATCCAGGTGAGGTCCGGTCACATTTCACATTTGATTTCGTGCAGATCGAAAAAAAATGGATGACGAATCATTTAAGTCAATGAAATGAATGTTTTTTTATATTTTATATTTTGTAAGCTTCTAGTGATTTTTAAAAAGTTCATCGTTACATATTTGCGCAATCTAGTGAATTAAGGAAATTTTATGTCTCACCACCAGTGGATAAAGAAATGCAAGCACCAAATTCAACCAACTCAACGGAAATGGTGTCTTCTGACAGAAATTATTAATTTAACCAACTCGGTAGTTTGCCGTCCATTCTTTTAATGTACTAATCATGATCGTGACCATGTATGACTCAGTTGGTTACGCTTGCCCTATATACATATAGTCATATTTTACTATATAGCCAACTCGGCCTATATAACCAGATTTTTCAATGCTCCAGTACCTGTTTATACACATGCAGGGTCGAGGTAGTCCGAATTATCCTAAATTATTTTGTTTTTAAAATGTAACCATAGTGAAACTTGTTCCGAGTGTTAGCATTGGAATGGATCACATCTTGATTATGTCATTCATGAGGTCATGGTTTATCTCATTATATGTATATATATAGGCTTTTTAATGGTTTTCAGAGTCTGGTCAGGTCAGAGGTCCCAAGGATGATCTCAACTTTATTTACCAAAGTTGCATTGTTGGTAAAGAATATATCAGGTGTAGATTTTTTGTGGGAGAATGATCAATGGCTATTATTAGTGCATCTTATTTAAAACACCAAAATCCAAGGTCTATTATCTGTTGTCCATCCCTGAACATTTCTGATTTTTCTATATTTCTTAAGAAGTATTATATGGATTTTCTCAAATTTCAAAGAAAGGTTCCCCTTGCACCCACGTGCCCCTCCACATTATGTATTGAATTTTTTCATCACAAATATCACTATTCTAAAAATTCAATCTTCTGATAGATTATTTTCATTTGACAGACTGGAGGTTTAGTGGAAGTTCATTATGATGAAACAGAACATACCACAGATGAAGTGTCAACCAACCTGGACCTGCTGGCCTCCCTGTCTATGTCTGAAGAGGCTGTCCCTAGTACATCACGTATAATGGAGGTTTCATCAGAGTCTGGCAGTAAGACTGTTGAACTCATCATTCCACCTGCCACTGTATTGAACGAAAGTCAGCCTTTACCATCTCAGAAACTGCCACCTAATGACTTGGTAATGCTGTATTTATCAGGTGAGGCAAATGTGTTTATATGCAGTCAATGATAAAACTTAGTCATCTGGTATTCTTATTGGATTGGGGAGGGGGTATTAGTTAGATTTTTACAACAGTCAGGCACCCAGTCTTACTGTAGGGTTAACTTAGTTAGATTCTGACAAAGGTGTGACAACCAATCTTACTTATATCATTTGTAATTATATTAGAAGTTTTGTAATAATATAATGCAGTGCTGGAAAGAGGGGGCTATTCTAGTATCCATTTTCTATATGGAGTTGTTCTATTTCGTACACTTAATCATACTTATTCACCGACATATCAGACACTAAGTTGTTGCCACCTGTTTCCATGCTTTTAAAGCTATTGTCTTTTTGGTTTTTCTTTTTCTGTTTTTCCACAAAACCATAAATTTATCATCAGGTGTTATCAAACTATTTATTAACATATTGTAAACTTTCCTCTTAATGTCAAGGATAAAATGCCTTAGCATGCTTACTTACAAAGTGATTTATGTTTAATTTTCTTGTCTTCAATATTTTTTTATTCTTTAGCAGAATATATCACCAGACTATTGATAGGCAATAATAAACATATATTGTTGAAGATCTATCCTAAAAATGAAATTTTCTAACTTATTAATGTTGTACAGAATCAGTGACGATTGTCCTTGGTTTGGTACCAATATGTGAGTAGACTTACCTTTATTCCGTAATGGTCATTCCTATCATCACTGTAGTTTCCACTGTAGATCTTTTATGTTTGTATTTGTCCAGGTAAAATCAGCTTCCTTGAATTCAGTGAAATGGTTAATACTTCAAAAGATAAAGATGAAGTAGAAAAAGACGATGACGTTGATGATGGTGATGAATATGATGAAGATGATGATGAAGATGAAATGGAGGATGACAAAAACATCGACCCTGACTACCAACCAAACAGAAATTCTCTACAGTCTGGCAAAAGAGTAGAAGAAAGTCAAACATCTGATGACTCAGCATCGCCTGTGAAAAAAAAGAGTAAGTTATTTATTAATTTTTTTTTTTTTTTCGCTTTTCAGTGACCATTAAGTCAAGTGTTTCTCTTATCATTCAATATTCCATATTGTGATGAAGAAGACATTGAAAATTATTAATCTGCTTTGGTATATATCATGTTAGTGATGCATTTTACTGTTTTAATTTACATATAAAACAAATGTTTGAATGTTGTGACTTGCAGTATCAATACAATATGAGACGTGCAGTCACATTAACGGTTCATCTTTTCTTATTTCAGGAAAATATGTGAAAAGAAATGTGAGTACAAATTAAATTGATTATTGTGGATACATATTTATATATAAAACAACATGACTGTAGAAGCTGAATTACTTCCTCATTAGATCTGATGTTACTTTACATCGGAAACAGACAATTTATAAGATATATCATTTATTATTCATGAAATAAAGCACCATTATCATGATGGAAATTTCATTTCTCAATAATATTGGTTGAAGGATCTACTAAACATAGTGTCTTTTTGAACATTTTTTTCCCCCAGATATTTTTCTGTCAATAAAACCTTACTATCTATAGTTGTGAATCTAGATACATTTTCTTGTATTCGTATATTAGCATTCAAATTTTAATCAAACAGGTTGATTCACTATATCAAATATTTACAAAAAGTTTATTGTGTTACCATAGTCCAAGAGGTTGATACCCAAACACCTGAAAGGCTTGATGGGAGAAGCCAATCTAAAATTTGCTCGAGGGGAAAATGAAGAAGCTATTCAGATTTGTATGGATATCATCAAAGAAGGTATAGAATCCTATTCTCATTCAGCTTTCCTAAAAATCTACCTGTAAAGATTGACTTTTAATCAGCTCTTCAAAAATTTACCTGTAAAGATTGACTTTTAATCAGCTCTTCAAAAATTTACCTGAAAAGATTTACTATGAATCAGCTCTTCAAAAATTTACATCATATCATAACCAACATATTTATCAATAATCTATATAAGCTATTGTTTTTATTTATTGGTAGTTTCCAGTCTTGTTAGCTCATTTCTAAAACACTTTGTTGTAATTTGTAGAGATGTCAACTCTGAGATTTCAAACTATGAATATATTTTCAAAGATTACTTTTGTATAATTTGAGCAAAATCATCAATAATTCTTTGATTTTATTAGACTGATCGAAGGTTTATACACAAGTATTTTGTTATCATATTCCAACTGCCATACAAACATTGTAACCACAGTGTTAAGTACGTCATTATATTCTTACATATATATGATTATATCAGCATTTTAGTGAAAAATTACTAAAGTCTCTATCAAAGTGATTTAAGATTATGCTTTACATATATAGGTTAAATAAGTAGTTTGTATATTTTTCCTGACAAGCCCCCAGAGCAGTCCTGCCATTCCAGACACTGGCTGTGATCTATGAGACCACCGGAGACATGCAGAAAGCTTTGGAGGTATGCTCTATTTTTAGATATTTGTTTTCTGTTGTTTTCATGAACACTGGGATTGAGTTTTATTATGTTGGTGTGTTTGCCTTCAGATCAATGTAATAACTTTACATGATATATGTGTAAAATTTTGTCAGGTCTTCAACCACTAACTCAGAAATAAAATACATGAAGTTGATCACATAATCAATTTTTTTTTTACCAGTTCCACACTTTGGCTGCATACCTGAATCCTAAAGACTCTGAGCAGTGGGGACGTTTAGCAGAGATGTTTCTGGACCAGAATCAGACTTCACAAGCTGTGGTAGCATATTCTCAAGGTAAGTAACTCTGTTGAATCGCAGTATAAAGATGTTGGTACTGAAATTATAAAATAGCATCACTGCAGAAACTGAAATAACCAATTATTGGAAAAGACTAAATGGTCTTACACTGAATGACAGGATCCTAACAACCCCCAATACCTAGAAATATGTGTTACAACTATATGACATAACCCTTAGAATACCCAGTACTTTCTAATGTTGTAGATATGTGTTACAGCTCAATGACAGGAGCCTAGCAACCCCAGTACCAAACATATATTGTAATTATGTGTCACAGCTGAATGGCATAACCCTTAGAAAACCCAATACCAACCAATGTTGTAAATATGTGTTGCAGCTCAGTGACAAGACTCTAAGTACCCACAATATCTTCTGATGTTGTTAATAGTTGTTACAGCTATACAACACAACTCATATGTGTTACAGCAATACGACATGATCCCAAAAACCCCCAGTACATAATGGAGAGGATTAAGTTGTATGAAGAACTCGGAGAGACCAAGAAAGTTATGGAAGGATACCGGGCCATGCTTAATGTCATTCCCACAGAGGAGGGAGACCAGTATATAGAGTTGGCGAGGAACCTCTCCATGGTAACCTGTTCCATCTTGGATCTTCTTATCCTCAGTGTAATCTGGATACCTGATCAATGATTGTTTAATATGGATACGTAATCAATGATTGTTTAATATGGATACCTAATCAATGATTGTTTAATATGGATACCTAATCAATGATTGTTTAATATGGATACCTGATCAATGATTGTTTAATATGGATACCTAATCAATGATTGTTTAATATGGATACCTAATCAATGATTGTTTAATATGGATACCTAATCAATGATTGTTTAATATGGATACCTGATCAATGATTGTTTAATATGGATACCTGATCAATGATTGTTTAATATGGATACCTGATCAATGATTGTTTAATATGGATACCTGATCAATGATTGTTTAATATGGATACATGATCAATGATTGTTTAATATGGATACCTGATCAATGATTGTTTAATCTGGATACATGATCAATGATTGTTTAATATGGATACCTGATCAATGATTGTTTAATATGGATACCTGATCAATGATTGTTTAATATGGATACCTGATCAATGATTGTTTAATATGGATACATGATCGATGTTTGTTTAATATGGATACCTGATCAATGATTGTTTAATATGGATACCTGATCAATGATTGTTTAATATGGATACCTGATCAATGATTGTTTAATATGGATACCTGATCAATGATTGTTTAATATGGATACCTGATCAATGATTGTTTAATATGGATACCTGAAGTAGTTACAAGTGTAGACATTTTAATACTTTATCATATGAAGAGTGAGCTTTAAACAATATCCACAATCTATGGCTTTCGTTTATAATGTGACTATAAAGAAAAAAGATTTTAAGACGAAAGTATTATAAAGATTGCCATATGAGAATATGTGTATTCTAGTGAATTTTTGTTATACAAATTTCATATTGAGTCTTTAAATGATACAATATTTTGTGAATAACGATAGATTTACAACTCAAAATGATGTAATTATACTTAAATTTCAGCAATATTTCAATATTGGTGACAAACAAAATGCCATAAAAATTATGAAGGGAGCATTTCAGATTCATCCTGACAAAGTGACATCAGAAGGTAGGCTTTCTCTCCTCTGTCAATAAATCAGAAGGTTCTCTCTTCTGCAAAATATATCAGAAAGTGGGCTTTTCCTCCACTGTCAATATATCAGAACTAGGACTATCTCTTATCTGTCAGTATATCAAAAGTAAACATTCCCACTACAGTGAGTGCATCAGAAGATAACCATTTTCTCCACTGACAATACTCCAGAAGGGCAAAAAACAATTTATTGTCCTTATAAAACATCAATCTTACATAACTGAGTTATAGAATGCCATTTTATCAAATAACGTCCATTATATATATATATATTTTGTTATATTACACATGTTGTATAACATAACAGAGCAGAGCTTGGATTGGCAGAATGTTGTGATTGTTACCACTTTGAAATTACTTTGTGGCATCATTTGCATGGTGATGTCACATAGATGTTATTATTCATGTATAGTCATTATATGGCCTATTGAAATTTTGTATCGGTCTGATAGTATGCTGTTTTATCAAACAATCGCAAAAGTATGTTTTATAAAAAGAAATGTATATTTCCATTTTATACGAGATTAATTAAACTTAGCACTAATTTTGTTTTACCTTGCTAAGTGCTCAGTTATTTCTAAATCACGTATAAAATTCGGATATTTTGGAAGATCTGCTATATAACATAGTCATATGAAATAAAATCTTTATTTGTTTGTATTTTAGATGTGAACTTGCTGTTAGAGCTACTGATTGCAGAGAAACTGTTTTTGGAATGTGTTGAGGTAAATGTTTAATAACCATAGTCACTTGTACTGGAGGTGTATATCCTCAATGCAAAAATAGGAGTAGGGTCATACTTGTTCTTTTATGTATTAAAAGGTCAAACTCTCATCAGGCAATTATGTAAATACCCGGTGTATTAAAATCTGAATAAATAATTGATTGTTGTGACATGAAATGTTAGCAATTTTCTTTTTGAAGTGAAACTAAGACATCTCATTTTCAATAGTTTGTATAAATTTTTCTCTAAATTCAGATTTTTTCTCAAACTCTGGAATCTGACATATAATAGTTTTAAGGGCTGTCATTTTGTGTGGATAGGGGATATGGTGTTGATCCCATCCCATCACTTTTCCTCACATCTTGTGTCAAACCAGGGGAATTTTGGATTTTGATTTTGTGTCAGATATGATCAGAAGGGTGTAAAAATGATGACGGGACAAATATTATCAATGATGTCCTTACGATACAGGAGGGTGTCAGAATGACGGGGACAATGTTATCTATGATGTCCTTATGATACAGGTGTTGGTAAAAAAATTTGGATCAATTATATCCACAATGACCTTTGATACAGGATGCCCCTTTTCCTTATACCACTGTGTTATGGAAATATTGTCCCCAATAAATGATAGAATCACTTTCCTGTATATGGTTAAGATTGATTTATATCTCAGTAGAAGTATGACAATCTGTAAGTCAAGATGAGGTCAGAATGTTGACCATTAACTGAAGACTGAGACAATAAAACACAGTAATATATTGTTTTTCTCATACGTAATTGTGTTAAAATTGCATAAATTATTTTCATTTTCAAACTCCTGAATTTGATGATGTGTTTCTTTTTAATGTATTGAAATTAACCAAGTGCCAGACAACACAGATATATTCTCAGTATAGTTAACTAACACTTAGTAGCGTATGAGATTTTCCTGTTTTAGGTATGATACATGTATGTAACACTTTAATTTGATGTCAACTCAAACCACGACAAAGACATGACAAATTAGGTTTAGTTCATTTTAGTTTATTTTTAATGAAAGAGATTTTTGTGTCAGTTCAGTAATCAAGAAAACAGTTGTCGTTAGTTACAAGAGAAATGGAGATATTGTTTATACGCCTACTTACTGTTCCTGTCCTTACAGATGTTGGTGAAGCACTGTGGAGTGTCACTCATATTCAACAACAAAATGGTGTGGGAGAAGAATCGTATTGATGCTGTTGATGCTGAGGCTCTGTTAGATGGACGACTAGCTATAGAAACGTAAGGACAAACATACCTACTGAATGTCTTCAATTTTCATCAGATTTCACATTTCTCATTCAAAGATGAAATAAATCTACTTTACTTTGCATACACTTCAAACGTGGATTTCAGAATGGTGTAATTTTGGTAATGTCAATCAAACATAGGATACAATTCTGCAATACCATAATAAGCACACGCACAATCAAATATGCCAACCAATATCATCAGTGATCAGCTATTCAAATTACCCTATGTCTTATGTCTGTTTTCAGTCCATAAACTAAATCTTGTTATTGCTTTTTCTTGAGTATTACAAAATGACCACAGAAACGTAAGTTCAAACAGACCTACTATAAAAATGTAAAGTCAAACAGACCTACCATAGAAATGTAAGTTAAGACAGATCTACCTTAGGAATGCCAGAGTAATATTAAACACATGAAATAGAAATCAGAACAAACATAATATAATATACTACAACACGACTGATTTGTTGTTTACAGCTGTAAAATCCCTGAGCTGCTGCCAATAGACCTTGGTGTGAAGTTGTCTGTGTGTATGATTCACCAGCATCAGAAGGCTATCGTATCAGTAAGTGTCAACTCAGTTTATAGTGTTATTTGATGTAAAACTTTTTGTCTGATGTAATCCAATTTTGAGCTCACATGATTGGAATGAACAATTTGAGCTTATGCCTGTCAATCAATAATTTCTTTAAAACACTACTAGTCATGAATGATTGAGAAGTTAGAAGTATCCTTTAGGGAAAGGGGCTAAATGTTCTGACTTCCTATTGGCTATAGAATGAGAAAGAATTTTTAGCAAATTCTTTAGTTCTTCCTTCTGTAGAAATGATAAGATTTTGTACAAATTTGTCATGAAATGTGCTTGTGTGAAAGGGGGATTCAGTTTGTTGTAAATGTTGGGTTCTGGCCCTCAGGGGATTAAGAGGCATTGCCTTATAGGGGAAATAGTGTTATTCTTTAAAATATTTCTTTTGTAGGAATGTCATTATTCTGCTACTGTTTGATATGAGACATCTGATGATGAAAGGGAATCAACTTTGTGTAAATAATGGGTCTTGGGTAGGATGGGTGGGGCTCCGGAGGGGAAATAGAGCAAATTCTTTTAAATCCTCGTTCTTCTGTTGGAAATTGGTCTGAAGCATTCTTGGGTGAAGTTGATTGTATAATTGGTTTTTCTGACCCCATGAGGACAGAGGGGTGGGAGCTAATAAGAGAAATAGATACAAACCATTAGAATTCATCTAGTTGAGATGAAATTCAGCCAAACAAAGACAGGTGAGCAATACAGGCCCTACGACCCTCTTCTATTTTGTAAACATGAGAGTCTAGTTTCATTCTATAAGTTCTTTATTGGCAATGAAACCTTCTGCACTGTTCATGCAGAATTTATGGTCATTGTCTTGAAATATAAGCTATGTTTTAGTAAGATGAAGAAATACGTCGGTCTGTCTTGCCAAAATGCAGGTTATATATATTTATTAAAATACTGACCACATATTCTACTGATCTTGCTACATTTATTGAAAAATCAGACTATCAAAAGTACAATGGTTGTTGTTAAATCTTAGTTTACCTGATGTTGATGTTACACTGATGATGCTGGAATATAGTTCCAATCTTCAAATGATATAACAGCAGTGTCATTCATTTTCATCAATAAAATTATTCATTTCAACTTATTTAAACAGTTATTCATAGTTTAATATGATATTAAAGTAAGTAATTGTGGCTAATTAATGCACATGTTAAAATATAGCCAATTTCCTTCACTGCCAAATACAGCAATATTATAAGCTGAAAATGGCATTGCCAGTGTAGACTAAATTATGTTAAGGAATGTCTGTTTACAAAATTTGAAATCCATCCTGAAATTGAGAATTAAGTGAAATAAGAGATCTTTATGTTAATGTTTCCACAGCCCATCATCAGTCAGCTGACCGCGGAGAGTATTGACGATATGGGGGACCTGTATATTGACATAGCTGAAGCCCTTATAGAGTCTCGTTACTATAAAGATGCCAAACCTCTGCTGGTGAAGTTGGTGAAGTCTACACGTTATCACACTGTAAGTTAAAATTTTAATATTTCCCTGTATGCTGCAAATATTAAAATCTGTTATAGTTCATTATCTGTTCATTATTTGATATATACAATGTCAAACTACAAAGTCTTGTTTGATATACAAAGTCTTGTTTGATATACAAAGTCTTGTTTGATCTATACAATACTTGTTTGATATACAAAGTCTTGTTTGATATACAAAGTCTTGTTTGATCTATACAATACTTGTTTGATATACAAAGTCTTGTTTGATATACAAATTCTTGTTTGATCTATACAATACTTGTTTGATATACAAAGTCTTGTTTGATATACAAAGTCTTGTTTGATCTATACAATACTTGTTTGATATACAAAGTCTTGTTTGATATACAAAGTCTTGTTTGATCTATACAATACTTGTTTGATATACAAAGTCTTGTTTGATATACAAAGTCTTGTTTGATCTATACAATACTTGTTTGATATACAAAGTCTTGTTTGATATACAAAGTCTTGTTTGATCTATACAATACTTGTTTGATATACAAAGTCTTGTTTGATATACAAAGTCTTGTTTGATATACAAAGTCTTGTTTGATCTATACAATACTTGTTTGATATACAAAGTCTTGTTTGATATACAAAGTCTTGTTTGATCTATACAATACTTGTTTGATATACAAAGTCTTGTTTGATATACAAAGTCTTGTTTGATATACAAGGTCTTGTTTGATATACAAAGTCTTGTTTGATATACAAGGTCTTGTTTGATATACAAAGTCTTGTTTGATCTATACAATACTTGTTTGATATACAAAGTCTTGTTTGATATACAAAGTCTTGTTTGATATACAAGGTCTTGTTTGATATACAAAGTCTTGATTGATCTATACAATACTTGTTTGATATACAAAGTCTTGTTTGATATACAAAGTCTTGTTTGATTTACAAAGTCTTGTTTGATATACAAAGTCTTGTTTGATATACAATGTCTTGTTTTATATACAAAGTCTTGTTTGATATATACAAATACTTGTTTGATATACAAAGTCTTGTTTGATATACAAGGTCTTGTTTGATATACAAGGTCTTGTTTGATATACAAAGTCTTGTTTGATCTATACAATACTTGTTTGATATACAAAGTCTTGTTTGATATACAAAGTCTTGTTTGATCTATACAATACTTGTTTGATATACAAAGTCTTGTTTGATATACAAAGTCTTGTTTGATTTACAAAGTCTTGTTTGATATACAAGGTCTTGTTTGATATACAAGGTCTTGTTTGATATACAAGGTCTTGTTTGATTTACAAAGTCTTGTTTGATTTACAAAGTCTTGTTTGATATACAAAGTCTTGTTTGATATACAAAGTCTTGTTTGATATACAAGGTCTTGTTTGATATACAAAGTCTTGTTTGATATATACAATACTTGTTTGATATACAAAGTCTTGTTTGATATACAAAGTCTTGTTTGATATACAAAGTCTTGTTTGATATACAAAGTCTTGTTTGATATATACAATACTTGTTTGATATACAAAGTCTTGTTTGATATACAAAGTCTTGTTTGATATACAAAGTCTTGTTTGATTTACAAAGTCTTGTTTGATATACAAAGTCTTGTTTGATATACAAGGTCTTGTTTGATATACAAAGTCTTGTTTGATCTATACAATACTTGTTTGATATACAAAGTCTTGTTTGATATACAAAGTCTTGTTTGATATACAAGGTCTTGTTTGATATACAAAGTCTTGTTTGATCTATACAATACTTGTTTGATATACAAAGTCTTGTTTGATATACAAAGTCTTGTTTGATTTACAAAGTCTTGTTTGATATACAAAGTCTTGTTTGATATACAAGGTCTTGTTTGATATACAAAGTCTTGTTTGATATATACAATACTTGTTTGATATACAAAGTCTTGTTTGATATACAAAGTCTTGTTTGATATACAAGGTCTTGTTTGATATACAAAGTCTTGTTTGATCTATACAATACTTGTTTGATATACAAAGTCTTGTTTGATATACAAAGTCTTGTTTGATATACAAAGTCTTGTTTGATCTATACAATACTTGTTTGATATACAAAGTCTTGTTTGATATACAAAGTCTTGTTTGATTTACAAAGTCTTGTTTGATATACAAGGTCTTGTTTGATATACAAGGTCTTGTTTGATATACAAGGTCTTGTTTGATATGCAAAGTCTTGTTTGATTTACAAAGTCTTGTTTGATTTACAAAGTCTTGTTTGATATACAAAGTCTTGTTTGATATACAAAGTCTTGTTTGATATACAAGGTCTTGTTTGATATACAAAGTCTTGTTTGATATATACAATACTTGTTTGATATACAAAGTCTTGTTTGATATACAAAGTCTTGTTTGATATACAAAGTCTTGTTTGATTTACAAAGTCTTGTTTGATTTACAAAGTCTTGTTTGATATACAAAGTCTTGTTTGATATACAAAGTCTTGTTTGATATACAAAGTCTTGTTTGATATATACAATACTTGTTTGATATACAAAGTCTTGTTTGATATACAAAAGTCTTGTTTGATATACAAAGTCTTGTTTGATATACAAGGTCTTGTTTGATATACAAAGTCTTGTTTGATATATACAATACTTGTTTGATATACAAAGTCTTGTTTGATATATACAATACTTGTTTGATATACAAAGTCTTGTTTGATATACAAAGTTATTGATAGTTCAGCAGATAAGGTAAGATAAATGATACATTATGAGATTGATACAAACTTGTAAAATATCAGGATCACTTACTATGTGGAGGCATCGAGCAATAATCATGTAGTCAGCTTAATGAAAATATTCCTTCATGCAGATATTGAAAATAAATACAATCCTGGCACATGACCTGTAACATATTGTTTTAAGATAATTGATTCTGTTGAAGTAAGAAATTCTTTTATCTACCTAGGCTGCAGCTGTATGGTTAAAGATGGCAGAGTGTCTCAACAACCTTGGTGAGTTGGAGGAAGCTGTGAAGGCCTACGGTAATGTAGTAGAGATGGCTCCACAACACGTAGGGGCCAGGATGGCCCTTTCCTCTCTCAATCAACAGTTAGGGAAACATGAGGAGGCTATCATGGCCTTGTCTCAAGGTAAGATAATAATGTAAACACAAAGTGATTCAGGGCAACTCTTTCAGTAATAACTCATGAAATAGGAACTCAATATTTTACTTGCCATGTTTAATCTCTTTGATCCATAGCAAAATGCATTAATAGGGAGATATAAAATTATAAATTCAGGCAGTGTGTCTACTCATTTTAGTGTCCTTAGTACCCTATTTGTACCTATAGGAGATTTGAATTTTATTTTTATTTTCATTTGTTGCCATGGAAGCAAGAAATCAAAATTTGCTGCTTCTTAATTATACAAGTTTTCAGTTCAAAGCAATTTAACATGATGTAAAATATTTGTACACATAAAGTTGTGGCTTTTGGTGTTTGATTTTGGTTTTGCTATTTTTTCTGTCATTGTAGAAACAATTAATCAGAAATACTTTCCACCAGTGTCAGTCAGGTGGGGGTTCATGTCCGATTGTTACATTATTTAAACCTTCTCTGTAGAGAACATGGATGGTTTAGTATTATTGGATTGGTTTTGATAAATAGTCTTTTAGTATATGTTCTGTACTTTGTAAAACAGCATTAAAGATATGATGCCATGCATTTTCTCAGTCCATGGTAGGATATTACATGTCATCGTTGTGTGTTACAGATGATGTCGGTGAAGCAATCATGTCCAAACAGGTAAGGGAACTTTTACTTTGTGTTAGAACACAATACTTTAAAATGAGTACTGTATAGCTTAAACACTTCAGCTGATTAATAATAGACGCCCTAGATTATATTTTTCTGTACATATGCGATAGGTGTAACTATAGATGTTACAACATATATTTTATTACAACCTGAAAAACTAGTAAGAAATATCGAGATATTGATAGAGATCTCTTTCTAGCTCTTGTTTCACAGCATACTTTTAAAAATTAACAGCACATATACACTATCACCCTGATTTTAAATACCTAGGTTGAATTTTGAACAGCTGCAGTAATATTAAAGTCACATGACATTCCTGTAGCTGGGGACGGGATAGCTCAGATGATCACAATATCAGGTGTAGAGAAGAGATGTGTTGTTCAGTTATCATAACATGGATCGGGTCCAGTCCTGTGCTCTCATGGTTGTGCCCTTCTGCAAAACACTTAATCCCAGTAACTCAGGATAGCTTGTAGATACCCCTCTGTATGAGGTTTTGTGAGGTAAATAGTGGCCGCTACTAGAAAGAGACCCTACTTCATATTGACCCTGTGAAAGGTGTGATAAATCAGGCTTAAGTGTCAACTGTATATAAAAATCATTTATGTAAACATTACAATTGAAATTTTCCTTTGATCTGAAAAGTCTTCGTTGTATTTACAGGAGCAGATCCTTTTACTACAAAAGTGTCACCTTTTACACTCTCAAAGTCGACACGATGAATTTATCCTTGCCTGCAAGCAGTTGCTCTTTCACCAGTTCAAGGACATAACTAAAGCCTCATTCTTGAAAGGTAGGTACTATTAGTTTACTGCTGGTGTCACTTTAAGATAAACTGTTAATTTACTGCTGGTGTCACTTTAAGGTAAACTATTAATTTACTGCTGGTGTCACTCTAAGGTAAACTGTTAGTGGGCTACTGGTGTCAGTTTAAGGTAAACTGTTAATTTACTGCTGGTGTCACTTTAAGGTAAACTGTTAGTGGGCTACTGGTGTCACTTTAAAGTAAACTGTTAGTGTGCTTTTTATCATTTACAGTCGTCTTTACATACAAAACACCCAAACACAAAAAGGAAGATGTGATGAAACACCTAAAGGAGGGATGTCAAGTTCAGGCAGATCGTAATGGTAATAGATATCAGAGATCAGAATTGGTCAATATTCTCAAAAAAATTGTAACTTTCATGTTTCAATGTGACCTACATGTTAACGCAGTTCACAAATAATGTGTTTTCTTGGTTGGAGACCTATATATTGCTCTAATGAGAACTAATTAAAATTAAGATCATGACAGGTTTCCGTGAGAAATGAACTGACTTCAGTGGAAAAATGATACAAGTTAGATATTAACTACATTATGTCATCGCCTGGCCAATTTCAAATTCTTTTCTTGACTAAATTGTCTTAATAGCATAAATACCTACATCCTTATGAAAGTCTTTACATTTGCCCATTCTCAGATGTTTCAAGATTTGAATATTTATTTCAGGGATATACAAAACTGATTTACCAGTTGATGATCTGTGGGATTTATTTGTCAAGGTAAGTGACGTCCCGGTTGACCTTATCTTTGAGGTCATGTGACATCATGGGTTATATTTAGAGAGTCTTTATCACATCACATAAAGAAAAACTTTCCCTTTTAAAAGTTAATTGGAAAATTTAGCATCTAGTGACCTTAGCTGTAATGTTGATGTACTTTCAGCTGTGTGACTTATTGATGGATCTTGAAAAGTACACTGAACTGATGGAAGTGACTGGGATAGCGATGTCCTGTCCATTCTTCATGGCAGATCCAAGGAAACTAAAGGTGAAATATTAAAGTTCAAACACAATCACACACAGCTAGATAAAATATTTTCGTTGGTTGTATTTTTTTTTTCTATTTTCGAGTGATACGTTTGTTTTATATTTGTTTGAGTTGTCTCCTCTTAGACCAGACTTTAATGTAAGTGTCATTATTTGGTGATTAATATAAATTTTCCTCTTATTTTGTTCCCCCCATTTCAAAAGATCGGGGGCAGATTGTGCGCTGTGTGGTTGTTTGTCTGTTGTCAACTTTAACCTTGCCCATAGCTATTGCACCGTAAGAGGTAGGGCTTTCATATGTGGCATGTGTGTTCCTTGTGACAAGACCTTTCCTATGGTACCAATATTTTTCACCCTGTGACCTTTGACCTACATTCACAAAATTTCAACATTGGCCATAACTATTGCATCATAAGTGGTAGGATTTTTATATCTAGCATGTGTGTACCTTGTGACAAGACCTTTCTGGTGGTACCTAAATGTTTGACCATGTGACCTTGGCTGTGACCTTAGACCTACATTCGTAAAATTTTAACATTGGCCATAACTATTGCATCATAAGTGGTAGGGTTTTTAGATTTAGCATGTGTTCCTTGTGACAGACCTTTCTGATGGTACCAAAATGTTTGACCATGTGATTTTAATTTGGTTGTAACTGGGGGCGTGTTGTTCTATGAACATTGTTTAGTTTAAACAAAGCCTGATACAAATAGACATAATAGGACAGTATAATCTATCATGACCTATGTGCTTCATTATGTTATTCCTGTCAGTTAACTGTGTTTTGCAGCAAGCTGAATTCATGTGTTTGGTGGCATGTATCATGACCAAAAATGGACTGATGGCCTTCACATTTGTTCGTGAGATGTGTCAGAAGGTAAGTAAGATAGATCCTACTTAATCTCTAATGTACTGTTTCACCAGAAATCTGTTCAAGTGTGAAGAGCTATAGGTAGTGTTGTTATCTTGAGAGTTTTTCTCATTAAACACATGATATAATACTCCTAGTAACATTACATCAACAGTTTCGAGTTAAAAATTCTGTAAATTTGATTTTCAAATTCTGTCACCACAAATATTTTGCAATGATAGATTTTAATTTCCTTAATTGTCGAAGTTATAAACTTGTTACTGTGGATATATTATGTTTAATAAAATCCATAATATCTGAATACTAGTTTGTGTATACACTTTCTGATAATGTACCTTTGTCTTTCAACAGACAGGAAATTTACACTTGCACTTCACATCATGTAGTAGAATGATTATCTATTATAAAAAAACTGTATTTGTAGGAGGGAGATAAGAATCAGGTTTGGAACCTCCTCAACCAGGTGATGACCTTATCTACAGAAAACAAGTACAACAAGTTCTGTCTACGCTACCTCCTGTCTGTGAGTAAAAACTCTCCCCTCTGTCAGTAAATACTCATCCCTTTGTCAGTAAATACTTTTCCCTCTGTCAGTAAATACTTTTCCCTCTGTCAGTAAATACTCTTCCCTCTCTCAGTAAATACTCTTCCCTCTCTCAGTAAATACTCTCCCCTCTGTCAGTAAATACTCTCCCCTCTGTAAGTAAATACTCTCCCCTCTGTAAGTAAACACTCTCCCCTCTGTCAGTAAATACTCTCCCGTCTGTCAGTAAATACTCTTCCCTCTGTCAGTAAATACTCTCCCCTCTGTCAGTAAATACTCTTCCCTCTGTCAGTAAATACTCTCCCCTCTGTCAGTAAATACTCTTCCCTCTGTCAGTAAATACTCTCCCGTCTGTCAGTAAATACTCTCCCGTCTGTCAGTAAATACTCTTCCCTCTGTCAGTAAATACTCTCCCCTCTGTCAGTAAATACTCTCCCCTCTGTCAGTAAATACTCTCCCCTCTGTCAGTAAATACTCTCCCCTCTGTCAGTAAATACTCTCCCCTCTGTGTGTAAATACTCTCCCCTCTGTCAGTAAATACTCTCCCCTCTGTCAGTAAATACTCTCCCCTCTGTGTGTAAATATACTCTCCCCTCTGTGTGTAAATACTCTCCCCTCCGTCAGTAAATACTCTTCCCTCAGTCAGTAAATATTCTCCCTTCTGTCAGTAAATACTCTCCCCTCTGTCAGTAAATACTCTTCCCTCTGTCAGTAAATACTTTTTCCTCTGTCAGTAAATAATCTCCCCTCTGTCAGTAAATACTCTCCTCACTGTTTGTAAATACTCTCCCCTCTGTTAGTAAATACTCTTTCCTCTGTCAGTAGATACTCTTCCCTCTGTCAGTAAATACTCTTCCCTCTGTCAGTAAATACTCTCCCCTCTGTCAGTAAATACTCTTTCCTCTGTCAGTAGATACTCTCCCCTCTGTCAGTAAATACTCTCCCCTCTGTCAGTAAATACTCTCCCCTCTGTCAGTAAATACTCTCCCCTCTGTCAGTAAATACTCTCCCCTCTGTCAGTAAATACTCTCCCCTCTGTCAGTAAATACTCTCCCCTCTGTCAGTAAATACTCTCCCCTCTGTCAGTAAATACTCTCCCCTCTGTCAGTAAATACTCTTTCCTCTGTCAGTAAATACTCTTCCCTCTGTCAGTAAATACTCTCCCCTCTGTCAGTAAATACTCTCCCCTCTGTCAGTAAATACTCTTCCCTCTGTCAGTAAATACTCTCCCCTCTGTCAGTAAATACTCTTTCCTCTGTCAGCTGTCAGTAAATACTTTTTCCTCTGTCAGTAAATACTCTTTCCTCTGTCAGCTGTCAGTAAATACTTTTTTCCTCTGTCAGTAAATACTCTCCCCTCTGTTAGTAAATACTCTCCCCTCTGTCAGCTGTCAGTAAATACTTTTTCCTCTGTCAGTAAATACTCTCCCCTGTTAGTAAATACTCTCCCCTCTGTCAGCTGTCAGTAAATACTTTTTCCTCTGTCAGTAAATACTCTCCCCTCTGTTAGTAAATACTTTTCCCTCTGTCAGTAAATACTCTTTCCTCTGTCAGCTGTCAGTAAATACTTTTTCCTCTGTCAGTAAATACTCTCCCCTCTGTTAGTAAATACTCTCCCCTCTGTCAGCTGTCAGTAAATACTTTTTCCTCTGTCAGTAAATACTCTCCCCTCTGTTAGTAAATACTCTCCCCTCTGTCAGCTGTCAGTAAATACTTTTTCCTCTGTCAGTAAATACTCTCCCCTCCGTCAGTAAATACTCTCCCCTCTGTCAGTAAATATTTTTCCCTCTGTCAGTAAATACTCTCCCCTCTGTAAGTAAATATTTTTTCCTCTGTCAGTAAATACTCTTCCCTCTGTTTGTAAATTCTGTTCCTGTCTGTAAGTAAACTCTCCCATCTGTCAGTAAATACTCTTCCCTCTGTCAGTAAATACTCTTCCCTCTGTCAGTAAATACTCTCCCCTCTGTCAGTAAATACTCTTCCCTCTGTCAGTAAATACTTTTTCCTCTGTCAGTTAATTATCCCCTCTGTCAGTAAATACTCTCCCCTCTGTCAGTAAATACTCTCCCCTCTTTCAGTAAATACTCTCAGTAAATACTCTCCCCTCTGTCAGTAAATACTCTCCCCTCTGTCAGTAAATACTCTCCCCTCTTTCAGTAAATACTCTCCCCTCTGTCAGTAAATACTCTCCCCTCTGTCAGTAAATACTCTCCCCTCTGTCAGTAAATACTCCCCTCCCCTCTGTCAGTAAATACTCTCCCCTCTGTCAGTAAATACTCTCCCCTCTTTCAGTAAATACTCTCCCCTCTATCAGTAAATACTCTCCCCTCTGTCAGTAAATACTCTCCCGTCTGTCAGTAAATATACAGTAAATACTCTCCCATCTGTCAGTAAATACTCTCCCCTCTGTCAGTAAATACTCTTTCCTCTGTCAGTAGATACTCTCCCCTCTGTCAGTAAATACTCTTCCCTCTGTCAGTAAATACTCTCCCCTCTGTCAGTAAATACTCTTTCCTCTGTCAGCTGTCAGTAAATACATTTTCCTCTGTCAGTAAATACTCTCCCCTCTGTCAGTAAATACTAAATACTCTCCCCTCTGTCAGTAAATACTTTCCCTCTGTCAGTAAATAATCTCCCCTCTGTCAGTAAATACTCCTCTGTCAGTAAATACTGTCTTTCCCTCTGTCAGTAAATACTCTCCCCTCTGTCAGTAAATACTCTCCCCTCTGTCAGTAAATACTCTTCCCTCTGTCAGTAAATACTTTTTCCTCTGTCAGTAAATACTCTCCTCTGTCAGCTGTCAGTAAATACTTTTTCCTCTGTCAGTAAATACTCTCCCCTCTGTCAGTAAATACTCTCCCGTCTGTCAGTAAATACTCTTCCCTCTGTCAGTAAATACTCTCCCCTCTGTTAGTAAATACTCTCCCCTCTGTTACCTCTGTCAGTAAATACTCTCCCCTCCGTCAGTAAATACTCTCCCGTCTGTCAGTAAATACTCTCCCCTCTGTCAGTGAATACTCTCCCCTCTGTTAGTAAATACTCTCCTTTCTGTCAGTAAATACTCTTCCCTCTGTCAGTAAATACTCTCCTCACTGTTAGTAAATACTCTCCCGTCTGTCAGTAAATACTCTTCCCTCTGTCAGTAAATACTCTCCCCTCTGTCAGTAAATACTCTTCCCTCTGTCAGTAAATACTCTTCCCTCTGTCAGTAAATACTTTTCCCTTTGTCAGTAAATACTCTCCCGTCTGTCAGTAAATACTCTCCCCTCCGTCAGTAAATACTCTCCCCTCTGTCAGTAAATACTTTTCCCTCTGTCAGTAAATACTCTTCCCTCTGTCAGTAAATACTCTTCCCTCTGTCAGTAAATACTCTTCCCTCTGTCAGTAAATACTCTCCCCTCTGTCAGTAAATACTCTTCCCTCTGTCAGTAAATACTCTTCCCTCTGTCAGTAAATACTCTTCCCTCTGTCAGTAAATACTCTCCCCTCTGTCAGTAAATACTCTTCCCTCTGTCAGTAAATACTCTCCCCTCTGTCAGTAAATACTCTCCCCTCTGTCAGTAAATACTCTCCCCTCTGTCAGTAAATACTCTTCCCTCTGTCAGTAAATACTCTCCCCTCTGTCAGTAAATACTCTCCCCTCTGTCAGTAAATACTCTCCCCTCTGTCAGTAAATACTCTTCCCTCTGTCAGTAAATACTCTTCCCTCTGTCAGTAAATACTCTCCCCTCTGTCAGTAAATACTCTCCTCACTGTTAGTAAATACTCTCCCCTCTGTCAGTAAATACTCTTTCCTCTGTCAGTAGATACTCTCCCCTCTGTCAGTAAATACTCTTCCCTCTGTCAGTAAATACTCTCCCCTCTGTCAGTAAATACTCTTTCCTCTGTCAGTAGATACTCTCCCCTCTGTCAGTAAATACTCTTCCCTCTGTCAGTAAATACTCTTCCCTCTGTCAGTAAATACTCTCCCCTCTGTCAGTAAATACTCTCCCTTCTGTCAGTAAATAGTCTCCCTTCTGTCAGTAAATTCTCTCCTCTCTGTCAGTAAATTCTCTCCTCTCTGTCAGTAAATACTCTTTGGTCTTTCAGTAAATTCTGTTCCTGTCTGTAAGTAAATACTCAGCAGGTAGGGAAATATCAGTCTGTGGATAGGCAGGTATTTCTGAAGGTGGAGGTCTACTGAAAGACATATTTCTGCTAGTATGGAGATGAAAGTCTGTGGGTAGGCAGATATTTCTGCTGGTGGCTATCACATCTAATTAACATTGTTTCTGTGTTTACAGCATCCAGACCATCCACCTATCTGTTTATTGAACGGGCACAATGCAACATTATCAGGGACATACAAGTATGCTTTAGGTGAGTGTTGTAGATATCAGGGACATACAGGCATGCTTTAGGTGAGTGTTGTATAGAGCATGGACATACAGGCATGCTTATGGTGAGTGTTATATAGATCAGGGACATACAGGCATGCTTTAGGTGAGTATTGTATAGATCAGGGACATACAGGCATGCTTATGGTGAGTGTTATATAGATCAGGGACATACAGGCATGCTTATGGTGAGTGTTGTATAGATCAGGGACATACAGTCCTTTCTCAAATTTCATATGCAGTTTCCCCTTGGTCCCTAGTTGTGCATTCTTTCTTTTTTGGACTGATTTGAATTCAAGATGGCCGAGATGGCCATCTTGGATTTTGGATGTAAAAGTTTGTTACCGCTATTTCTTGAAAAGTACTAGATGGATCTTTCTCAAATTTCATATGCAGGTTCCCCTTGGTCCCTAGTTGTGCATTGTACCTTTTTTGGACTGATTCAAATTCAAGATGGCTGACAGGTGGCCATCTTGGATTTTGGATGTAAATGTTTGTTACTGCTATTTCTTGGAAAGTACTGGATGGATCTTTCTCAAATTTCATATGTAGGTTCCCTTTGGTTCCAAGTTGTGCATTGTACCTTTTTGGACTGATCCGAAATCAAGATGGCTGACAGGCAGCCATCTTGGATTTTGAGAGTAAAATCTTGTTACTGCTATATCTGAGGAAGTACTGGATGGATCCTTCTGATATTTTATAGATATTGGTTTCCCTTGGTCCCTAGTTGTGCATTGTACCTTTTTTGGACTGATTTGAAATCAAGGTGGCTAACAGGCTGCCATCTTGGATGTCGACAGTAATACAGCACAAACACATTGTCCATTATCCACCTGTAACTGACTGCTATCTAATAATACTTTGGGATCTTTTTCAAAAGGTATTTGCTAATAAGTGCTTAATAAAAATATCTTGTGCCATCATTGAGTAAATTCAATGAAGACCAGTTCATGAACATTTACAACACCTGTAACAAACAAAAAAAAATAAACAAATCTTCAAGAACTGAAAATAGATCCGCAAATGGTGGGCGCCAAGATCCCTCTGGGATCTCTTGTAATGGTCGTGGTTTCTGTTGGTATATTTTACAGGGGAGTATGTATCAGCCTTGTAATGGTCGTGGTTTCTGTTGGTATATTTTACAGGGGAGTGTGTATCAGCCTTGTAATGGTCCTGGTTTCTGTTGGTATATTTTACAGGGGAGTATGTATCAGCCTTGTAATGGTCGTGGTTTCTGTTGGTATATTTTACAGGGGAGTATGTATCAGCCTTGTAATGGTCGTGGTTTCTGTTGGTATATTTTACAGGGGAGTATGTATCAGCCTTGTAATGGTCGTGGTTTCTGTTGGTATATTTTACAGGGGAGTATGTATCAGCCTTGTAATGGTCGTGGTTTCTGTTGGTATATTTTACAGGGGAGTATGTATCAGCCTTGTAATGGTCGTGGTTTCTGTTGGTATATTTTACAGGGGAGTATGTATCAGCCTTGTAATGGTCGTGGTTTCTGTTGGTATATTTTACAGGGGAGTGTGTATCAGCCTTGTAATGGTCGTGGTTTCTGTTGGTATATTTTACAGGGGAGTATGTGTCAGTTCTGCGGACTTGCCCTAAAGAACCTTTGGTGAGCCTGTGTATTGGACTCACCTTCATACATCTAGCTGCCCAAAAGTTTTCTGCTAAAAAGCATTTTCTTCTGACTCAGGTAAGTCAAATAGTCATTGTTTATCAAGACTCATCTTAAAATACCCCTTAAGCGAAGTTGTCTGTGTTTGTCCATCGTCCAAAAAACACCTCTTCAACTTGTGAAACAATTTCAATTGAACAATACAGGGATGTTAGTGACCATGTATTTGATGTGCTTACAGGTTTTTCTAGCAGAAATATTGAGAGAAAAGACTAAACATCCAACATGTTTACATAAGGCCACACCAATTTTTGTTCTTTGGGAATTACCACTCTTAAAATCTGGAGACAAGGGAAAAAAAATGAGAATAACCACTCCTCAAAAAATATCAAAATTCCAGACTTTTTAGGGTCAGATATTATTTTTATAGATTGCTAATTTTAGTTGCATATAGGCTTGAATCGCCAGGAAAGTGAACACGGAAAAAAAAAATTTTTTTAATGATGCAGATTAAAAAACACAGGAAAGAACATGCTTTGGCAGATATAATTATGTCATACAGCACAGAGCCATTGTGTAAGATGATTAGAAAGTGTTAACTTGACTTTAAGACATGTCCTGGTGTTGAATAGGAGTTTTTATTCCATGACAATATCATGTTGTATGTAAGTGAAAAGTAATTTGGATAGTCTCATGTAGACCTAGTATTAAAGTTTTCCGGGTCGATCAATGGGAGACAAATTTGTATGATAACTTATTTCTTCTAGCAGACTTATGGAAACAGTCTTTCCGTACCATTGATTATGGACAAATAATCATTATATTAGTATGAACAAGAAGAAAATCATTGAAATTAAACGGAGTAAATTAACGCTTTAGATAAATGCCTGTGATATTGATCTGAAGGTGAGATATAAATCATAGCGTAGGCATATGCAATAGTAAATGGAGAATTTGTTTGTCTTTATGTGGCCTCCGTTGGTTCATTTCAGAATCATTTTAAATATTATGGACTGTGCAAATAAATACATGCTTGTACCGATCGAGTCTAAAGACTTAACATGTCAGTTTAGGAAGTTGCCAGTCGTGTAATCCAGATAAAACATAATAATATAACTTTAAAGCTGACTTTCACATCTCTCTTAAATATTTACATTTCTAGCTTCAACAGTCACTGAAGATTCCAGAGTGTCTAAACCGCTGTATGATGCACGTCATTCATTACACTTGTGGGGCACGTTTTGTAACCATAGCTGTATTCGTTTATTTTCTGTGCAAACATATTGGTCGCAGTGGTAGAGTGGTCAAGGTGTCTATATCATCAGCCCTCCATCTCTGGGTCGCGGGTTCGAGGCCTTCGTAGGGCAGTTGCCAGCAGACTGTCCCCTGCTACCAAAAACCTGGCACATCATGAAATGATAATGGCTGATAAGAGAACATTAAACATGCCACATAATAATTTGAAACTAATTACACTATACATACATATAGATTCTAATATATATGGTTGAGCAGTGATCCAGTCAGATTTGTAACTTGTCAGTGATCCAGTCAGATTTGTAACTTGTCAGTGATCCCATCAGATTTGTAACTTGTCAGTGATCCAGTCAGATTTGTAACTTGTCAGTGATCCAGTCAGATTTGTAACTTGTCAGTGATCCCATCAGATTTGTAACTTGTCAGTGATCCAGTCAGATTTATAACTTGTCAGTGATCCAGTCAGATTTGTAACTTGTCAGTGATCCCATCAGATTTGTAACTTGTCAGTGATCCAGTCAGATTTGTAACTTGTCAGTGATCCCATCAGATTTGTAACTTGTCAGTGATCCCATCAGATTTGTAACTTGTCAGTGATCCAGTCAGATTTGTAACTTGTCAGTGATCCAGTCAGATTTGTAACTTGTCAGTGATCCCATCAGATTTGTAACTTGTCAGTGATCCAGTCAGATTTGTAACTTGTCAGTGATCCCATCAGATTTGTAACTTGTCAGTGATCCAGTCAGATTTGTAACTTGTCAGTGATTCATTCAGATTTGTAACTTGTCAGTGATCCAGTCAGATTTGTAACTTGTCAGTGATCCATTCAGATTTGTAACTTGTCAGTGATCCATTCAGATTTGTAACTTGTCAGTGATCCAGTCAGATTTGTAACTTGTCAGTGATCCAGTCAGATTTGTAACTTGTCAGTGATCCAGTCAGATTTGTAACTTGTCAGTGATCCAGTCAGATTTGTAACTTGTCACTGATCCAGTCAGATTTGTAACTTGTCAGTGATCCCATCAGATTTGTAACTTGTCAGTGATCCAGTCAGATTTGTAACTTGTCAGTGATCCAGTCAGATTTGTAACTTGTCAGTGATCCAGTCAGATCCAGTCAGATTTGTAACTTGTCAGTGATCCAGTCAGATTTGTAACTTGTCAGTGATCCAGTCAGATTTGTAACTTGTCAGTGATCCCATCAGATTTGTAACTTGTCAGTGATCCAGTCAGATTTGTAACTTGTCAGATCCCATCAGATTTGTAACTTGTCAGTGATCCCATCAGATTTGTAACTTGTCAGTGATCCCATCAGATTTGTAACTTGTCAGTGATCCAGTCAGATTTGTAACTTGTCAGTGATCGCGTCAGATTTGTAACTCAGTGTCAGTGACTTGTCCCATCAGATTTGTAACTTGTCAGTGATCCAGTCAGATTTGTAACTTGTCAGTGATCCCAGTCAGATTTGTTTGTAACTTGTCAGTGATCCCATCAGATTTGTAACTTGTCAGTGATCCAGTCAGATTTGTAACTTGTCAGTGATCCAGTCAGATTTGTAACTTGTCAGTGATCCCGTCAGATTTGTAACTTGTCAGTGATCCAGTCAGATTTGTAACTTGTCAGTGATCCAGTCAGATTTGTAACTTGTCAGTGATCCCATCAGATTTGTAACTTGTCAGTGATCCAGTCAGATTTGTAACTTGTCAGTGATCCCATCAGATTTGTAACTTGTCAGTGATCCAGTCAGATTTGTAACTTGTCAGTGATCCAGTCAGATTTGTAACTTGTCAGTGATCCAGTCAGATTTGTAACTTGTCAGTGATCCAGTCAGATTTGTAACTTGTCAGTGATCCATCAGATTTGTAACTTGTCAGTGATCCCAGTCAGATTTGTAACTTGTCAGTGATCCAGTCAGATTTGTAACTTGTCAGTGATCCCTTCAGATTTGTAACTTGTCAGTGATCCATCAGATTTGTAACTTGTTGTCAGTGATCCAGTCAGATTTGTAACTTGTCAGTGATCCAGTCAGATTTGTAACTTGTCAGTGATCCCATCAGAATTGTAACTTGTCAGTGATCCAGTCAGATTTGTAACTTGTCAGTGATCCAGTCAGATTTGTAACTTGTCAGTGATCCCATCAGATTTGTAACTTGTCAGTGATCCCATCAGATTTGTAACTTGTCAGTGATCCAGTCAGATTTGTAACTTGTCAGTGATCCAGTCAGATTTGTAACTTGTCAGTGATCCAGTCAGATTTGTAACTTGTCAGTGATCCAGTCAGATTTGTAACTTGTCAGTGATCCAGTCAGATTTGTAACTTGTCAGTGATCCCATCAGATTTGTAACTTGTCAGTGATCCAGATTTGTAACTTGTCAGTGATCCAGTCAGATTTGTAACTTGTCAGTGATCCATCAGATTTGTAACTTGTCAGATTTGTAATCAGTGATCCAGTCAGATTTGTAACTTGTCAGTGATCCCATCAGATTTGTAACTTGTCAGTGATCCCATCAGATTTGTAACTTGTCAGTGATCCCATCAGATTTGTAACTTGTCAGTGATCGCGTCAGATTTGTAACTTGTCAGTGATCCAGTCAGATTTGTAACTTGTCAGTGATCGCGTCAGATTTGTAACTTGTCAGTGATCCAGTCAGATTTGTAACTTGTCAGTGATCCAGTCAGATTTGTAACTTGTCAGTGATCCCATCAGATTTGTAACTTGTCAGTGATCCAGTCAGATTTGTAACTTGTCAGTGATCCCATCAGATTTGTAACTTGTCAGTGATCCAGTCAGATTTGTAACTTGTCAGTGATCCCATCAGATAACCAGTGTCAGATTTGTAACTTGTCAGTGATCCAGTCAGATTTGTAACTTGTCAGTGATCCCATCAGATTTGTAACTTGTCAGTGATCCAGTCAGATTTGTAACTTGTCAGTGATCCAGTCAGATTTGTAACTTGTCAGTGATCCAGTCAGATTTGTAACTTGTCAGTGATCCCATCAGATTTGTAACTTGTCAGTGATCCCATCAGATTTGTAACTTGTCAGTGATCCAGTCAGATTTGTAACTTGTCAGTGATCCCATCAGATTTGTAACTTGTCAGTGATCCCATCAGATTTGTAACTTGTCAATGATTACTCCTCGTACGATTCATTAACGATTGAGACAGTATTCCAAAGCTCCACCATAGATAGAAAAGTTGTCTATCAATTGTACCAGTGATCAAATTAACAATCTCTTTTGATTTTTCCGCTTCTAGTCATAGAGATATAAGATTTGATTGCTTACTATACATACATTTAGTAAACAAACTAATCTAAAAATAACGATATATCTTAAAAACCAGAAGTTCCTTAACTCAGAATTCCAATTGCCAAATTAAGTGATATGGAACACATGAGTTTTCCATTGTCTGTCCTTATCATACAGTTTGACTTCCTGACGTAGGGGAGTTGTGAGATTCATTAAACAACTTCATAGAACGGTTCTTTGATGACCAGAGCAGGACGAATGAGACGCGTGTTTATATGTTTGAGTGAATGTTTGTTGAAGTAAGTTATGAATTCAATCAGGCTTTTGAATTCATAACTATCATCAAATCCACAACGTCCTTGTTCATTTACTTCAATGATACAATGCTTTACACCATTGTCACACCTGAAATTAAAGAAAAACATTGATGAACGAATTGCTGAAACTCCATTTCGTATGTATAAATGTATTTGTGTGCTCTCAAATTTCTTCAAAAGTTTTATCATTTTGTTTGATCAGACTTACTTAATCGACAAACGTTTCTGAAGAGTTGGCTTCTTCGGTCGGATGA